ATCGATAAAACACCATTTTTTGGGACTTTGTCCCAAGATGTTTGTCCCTTACACAATCGTCTGATCCCCTTTTTTAATTGTTAACGACAATCCGCGCGAAACAAGAATAAAAAAGATTTAACATGGAACTACATCAACCCTCGTATGAATAAAATCATAATAATCAAATACAGCTAAAATTCTCTTTCAACTATATTTCTCCAAAAGTGATGATGGGTTTTTCCAACGGTACGGCAGATACGCGGCATACGGTGGCAAGTGAACTAAATATCCTCGTTACATTATGAGATAGATTACTTTTTGGCAAGTTTATGACTAGAACCTCGATTCTTGTAGGTTTTATAAGCTATCTATTATTCAGAGTTAGTCGCGCCGTTAAAATTATAACCTTTGCTTGGGATTCATTTTTTCAAATTATAGCAAATAGTAATTTTTTGAAGAATGTGTATTAAAAGAATGAAAAGTTTTTAGAATTACGTGTAATTATTTTATTAAACAATGTGCGATTGATAAGAAAAGAGAGAAAAATGAATTTTAATTTAATGGAAGCCAAACATGAGCATAATCCATTTTCCTCTCATTAACCACACACTTTTCATAAAATAATATCACATATAAATCCAAAACTTTTTCTTCTTTTTTAACCATACATTTTTTTTAAAAAAAATACTATTTCAAAAATTATAACTCAAAATAATGGGGGCCAAACGGGGGCTTAATTGTTCGATTAATAATTGAACTCGTCTTGCCCATTTTGGGAAGAACTTTTGGAAAGAACCGTAAGCAAAATTTTTTTACCACATCAATATGTGGACAATCTTATCACATCTACCGTGAACAGGAAACCAATTTCTTTACTCATTCAGGCCCTGTTTGAGCCAAATTATTGTAGAATGTGAATGAAAAATATAGTCGTTATTGGGGCCCACATAAAAGATAGAAAATTTGAATTTAAATGTTGATATGATGGATAACGGTCATATTTTTCATTTTAATGAAATAATAATGTAGATCAAACGGGGGCTTATCTTTAAAATATTTTCGAATAATCATTAAATTTTAACACATTGTACTTCATAAGTTACTAAACTTTAAAATGATTCTAAGTTGTCAATGAATTTTAACTCGTTGCACTACATCACTGACCTCTCATATTTCATTAGCTGCTGAACTTATACATTTATCACACTTTATTCACTGAACTTTAAAATACTTCCAAATGGTCGCTGAACTTTATAATGTTTACGAGTAAAGTTGATTTTTTTATGAGATTCGACTAAGATTAAAAAAATAAAATAATTATCGAATAGATAAGGAAACTCTCAATCTAAAACAAGAATATTGATATTGATCAATAAATTATTAATTTTCCAATTGTCGAAAGCTATGTTCAAGGGGATAGAAGAATAGCAATTTCAAATTGACATAAATATTAATTCAAAATCATAATCTTCCTTTACATCGAGAAAATAAAATAGAGATTTTTTTTTTTTTTAATTTCGATTGAGATCGTAGACTCAAATAAAAAAAAAAAAATACAGAATTATATCTCAAACGATTAATAGAATTTTCGATTTAAAGTCAATAATATTAATCAAGACTAACAAAATATAATTTTAGAGTTTTCACAGAATAATTCAAGAGAAAATAATGGCGCCTTCTTCGTGTATGGTATTTTATTTCTTTATTTTATACCTCAAAATGAAAAACACTACCGATAGCCCAAAAGTAGCTAACCATGAGGAGGATAAATTGATTTTTTGAAACTTTCTTAAGAAGTAATCTTATATCAAGGAAGTTAAGAATAAGTGAATTAATTAAACAATCAACTTAGAATAAAATAACAATAGGTAAAAGATTAGAGAAGATACAAACGATATATTTAGCACTCGTTTGGCCCCCATTATTTGAAATTATAATTTTTAGAATAATGTTTTTTTGAAAAATGTGTGATTGAAAAAAAAATGAAAATTTTTCTATTTACATGTAATATTATTTTATGGAAGATTATGTAGTTGAAAAAAAAAATAGAGAAGAATAATTTTTTGGAATAATGGGGACCAAATGGGGGGTTTTGGAGGTTTGATCCCAACTAATAATCTATATCATTCGTTATCAAGCTTTCTGTTACAAACAAGACTTTTACTATATTGATTGATTTATAATGTAATCAAAATCCTTACAATACTATCAATAACATACAAACAAGGAGCACCGATCCTTATACAATATTGAGTTTTCAAGGCACCTCAATATTATCCAAAGATTTAAAGAAATGGTTTTATAATGAAATATCTCTCTTGATAAACGATAGCAATAAATTAAGTAACAAGAGAGACTAACACTTCAATGAATAGTAATGAATAATAACTCAAGTGTTATATAAGAAAATTTTGATGAATATGATGATTTAAAAGAACTCAAATAATCAAAATTTTCAATATAAAGAAATAGAAAAAATAAATGTAATGTAAGTTCAAAAATTTGCTCAAAATATTTTTCTTTTTAGTACACTTGAAGGACATTGAATTGATTGCAAAAAGGAATCTATTTATAGAGGACAATTTGCAAAACTGTCTATAAGTTTGGATGATAGATTGATCAAATAGGTAAAAGTTTGGATGACCCAAAATATAGTAGTTGGACAAAAGGGTGCGAAATCATTATGGTCAAATTTTGAACCGCTGCATTTTGGTTGATTCACCAAACCTATTTTTCCAATTTGACCCCATTTGGTCTGATCTGAATGTTTTGAAAAACGTAGACATTTGGAGAATATTTTCAATTAGTGTTTTTTAGGTAAACGATATTTTTAAAATATGATCTAAGTTCAAATATTATTTTGAAAATCATTTTTACCTTTGATCAAAGCATTCTATGCAAGTGAAATCAAAGTATTTTTTAGTGTATAAAATAGTTTTTGAGCTTTTGTCATTCATTATTAAAGATCAAAGTTTTAATACCTTTACATTTGTTCTAAAAAGGATAGTCTTTAATTTTTTTTTTGAAGTTTAGCTTTTAAGCTCTCGTCTTAAATGCCTGAAAGATTTAATTTTGATCTTGACCTTCTTTATGAGTTCCATTTGTAATGATAATTTTGATCTTATTTTTTTTTACTGTAATCGACTGATTTATTATTGAATGATTTGAAGATTACGATTACTTAAATTCGATTGTTAGTGAATAGCCCATGTTTGACTTTCATTAAATTTTAATTCATTTTTATTTTTTCTCTTATATATCAACCACACATTTCCTAATAAAATACTATTACACATAAACCCAAAAAATCTCCTTATTTTTTAACCACACACTTTTCAAAAAAATACTACTTCAAAATCAATTTTGTTTTTTCAAATAATAGAGTTCAAACAAGGACTAAGATTACTTTGTTTGCTATAATCAAAACTTTAAAATTAAAGTAAACCATAATTCACAACTTCATGATTGAAGGCCCAATTAAATTACTAGTTTCTAAAAGATGGATTACTTAAAATTCATTTAATTGTAATCTTTTTGGTTGATTCTAACTTAGTTTGATCTTATCAAAAATATTTTTTATCGAGTTTTATATAAATGATTAAGTACAAGCTACCAAATGAGTTTAATATGGAAACTAATATTGTTACGATAATATAGCTTAATTTGGAAACTAATATTACACATCAATAAGTTTATTTTAATGAGTTATAACTTGAATTTGGTTTATTTAAATTAACTTTTTCTCAAGTCCATAACTTGCCATTTACTACAAGTCTTGGAATGAGTCCAATATTGTAGGATAATTTTCGATTCTCCAACGTATACACATTTGGTTCAAATACATTATTGATCTTGAAACTTATTTTCACTTTGATCCCTCAAAATCTCAAATTTATTAAAAGGTTCTTGAATCAAAATCATTAGAATTTAGTTATGCTTCTCTTCACGAAATAATTCTAATTCGTCACGTTATTTTTTAAAAATATATATCTTTTACTATTTTACAATCTACTCCCTAAATTTTACACTTTTTATTTAACTAAAAATCACGCTTCTCCTTGCAAGTTATTCTTACAATATTCTCGGGACTTCAAATTATGGTTCTTAAAACTTTATCACGATTTCTAAATTGCACCTTACTTGAGTTTTTTCAATTAATATTTATGGGAATTATTATTTACATTTTGATAATATTTTTCTATCGACGGAATAATTCTGCTAAATATTATGTTACTCTAGTCTCTAGAGTTGTCAAGATAATTTTTTTCCCACTATATCTTTTGAATTGTACTATATTTTCAATTAATATTTATGGAAATTATTATTTGCATTTTTATAATATTTTTCTATCAACGGAATAATTCTTCTAAATATTATGTTAATCTAGTCTCTCGAGTCGTAGCGATAATGTTTTTTTTCACTATATCTTTTGACTTGTACAATATTTTCGTTTAAAATATAAATATATTATTTAAATAAATATTTTAATATTTATAAAAATTTGACGTAATAATAAATCGTCTAAAATCCCAAAATTTTTAGGGCCGATCTTGATTACAAATCAATTAAAGTGATTTGTGGTGGGACGAGTTAGCGTTCCTATAAAAAAAACCACTAATTAACCCACTGACGGCTTTACTTTCCGCCAGATGCCCAACTAGGAAAAGGACTTATCCGGAAATTACTACCAAACAAGGGGCATTAAGGTAAACATAGTACACGCTTTCAAGGTCGGTCCGTCTCACCGCCATACATTGCGTGCGAGTATATATACCCCACCTTAACCCTCAAAACGATAATCAAAAAGCTTTTTGTTTCGATTTTTCAGCCGCCGAGACCATCTCTCTCTTAGGGTTTCAGTAAATCGCCGTATATCACCAATCCAAGCAATTAACCCACTATTTTTCTCTGAATTCTTTCGCTAACCCGTATATATTCATCAATTATTGGATTGGTTATTTTTATTCTTTTCTTTTTTCCTTTTGTTCTTGGGAAAATCTTCGATTCGATCTTGAAGAATGTCTCGGTGCTTTCCATATCCGCCTCCAGGGTTTTCACTGGGAAAGGTCGGCAACGAGGCTTTGGTCGAATCGATTAAGGTTTGTTTAACAAACAAACCACCTTGATTGATTTGTACATGTTTATTATATGAGCATGAGTACCCATACATGTTAATCGAGTGGCTTCCGAGTTTTGTGTATAGCTCCGACGTGTAAAAATATAATATCAGTGTCTTCTCCCGTTCGTGCTGTTGTGCAAAACCTGCTCAATTTTCGGAACTAGGGCTTGTCTTAAAAATTGGATTTTAACGTATATTTGACATGTAGATGTATACAAATTCAACCTATCTTTATGTTTTCCTTTGACACGGTCCTGTGAGCTCATGTTGAGATGTGCGGGTGTGTTTGGATTGGTTTTCATTTTTTTTGGGAGTAGGCTTAATGAGTGAAAAAACAGCTATGACGGATTTGTAACTTCCTTTGGTAATTTCTAAAATATGTCGATTATAGTGTATATTGCTGGGTGTTGATGATGACCTTGTTCGACTGAGCATTTTTGTATCCACAAACGATGATTGTTTGTGGGACTCGAGTTTTTGTTCAAAATAGAAATATTTGATGATTATTAAATGTTTTCTTTCAATGTTGCATTCAGTTTTTTGTCCTGGACCCTAATTAAGGAATTGATTACAATGCAATTCTACATTTTAAAATTTTCCAAGATGCAAATTAAGTTGCGTGTGTACCTTTCAATTACTACGAGCTTTTATGTGGAGCTGAAGAAAGTTTTGAGGCCAGATTTCTAAAAGAAATGGACACCATCGTTTTAATGCTATTTTAAAGTTTTTACCCCTTGAAATTTGCCCTTTTGGATTATTGTTTAATTAGTGGTATAATCAATCTTTTTCCTGGTAACTATTGATGAATATGTTCCTATATGAGTGGACTATGACCCAAGTATCTCAAATAATTTTTCTAATAAACCTATACTTCCCAGTTTATTAAATGTTGTACACATTGTATGTTAGTTTTTGTCGAAAGCTCAAAAAGTGAAAATAAATGATCATCTGGGTGCTTGATAGAATGAACACAAACTCAATCATTATGAGGTCTAAGTTCATATAATGGGCATATTACTTTGGGCATTCTTAGCCCTGGATGCTAAAATTGTTATTCTGGTCCTGTAAAGCTCCAAATGGAGACTGAAAGAGTTGCCAAGGAACTAAGGAAGAAGGAAAAGAGAAAGGAGAAGAAAGAGAAAAGGAAAGAGAAGAAGGACAAGACAAAGGCTTATACAGAAAAAAATTGGGAAGCCCCAAAGAGTGGTTGTTTTCCAAAGGTTATAGAAGCTGAAGCAGAACATTTAGAAAAAAGTAGTGTCACTGAAGAGCACGAGAAGCCTATCTATTTGTGCCTTCCAAGCTCTCCATCTGATAGCACTGGGAATAGCAATAAGAGAAAGAGACATTCCTCACCTTTAGTTGGCAGCCATGATCGTGGTTAGTACGTTTTTTTTCTCTGATAAAATTCTGTCATTTCTTAAAGGGTGTTACTGCTTTCATAGTGGTTTTGCTTATTTTGGTCATTGTTGGTGTTGAGCCAGGAAATATTATTAGGATTCGGTTGCTACCCCCAAAGAAGCCGAAGGAACAGGATAATGAAATTGCTGGAAGGACAAATTTTCCTGCGGAACATAATAATGAAATTGCTATTGTATCCAGTCAAGAAAAAAATTTCTCCACTGAGAATAACAACTCCATTGTGGGAGCCTTTCCCATTGGAACTATCAAGGAGCCAGTTTGTTCGACTTCCGGGAGGGATGAGGCTGCTGCTACTACTCATGGTAAAGCTAGAACTGCATCAGGTCACGATACAGCTATGACTAACATGCAGAAAGTGGAATTAAAGTATAAAAGTTTATTTGAGAACTGGGATCCGCCCCAGCTGCTGGCTCAAGACATTGGTCAAGACGACGAAGAATGGCTCTTTCGGGGCAGAAATCAGGATGTGCATGTAGGGAGAAAAATCAAACTATTCAGTGATCCTATATCATGTTCTAGTACCTCGGCATTGGGACCTCGTGCACAATATTTGCAAGAAGCTGATGTATACGCACTGCCTTACACAGTCCCATTTTGAATTTTGTTCAAGTTGAGACAGCTGAGTTATGTAATTAGCTGCTGCCTGAGGATTTTGTAGGTCTTTCTCCAAAGGCTAGGAGGTGACTTGCTGCGAGGATTTGGTTTGTATGTATGAGCTGAGAATGTCTCTGACATAGCCTGAGTGAGTGGAATTGGTGGGATTTTTTGGCCTTGATAAATCCCTCATTTTGGAAGAGTGTATGTCTGTACGTTTTTGCATCAATATTGGTCAATACGATCAAATTCTTCACAATTTTGTAACAATATGATATTGTAATTTACATCATGTCTGGGCTTATATGCTTTGGTTTTACCCAATTTCTCCAATTTGCCCCGCAATATTCAATTTTTTTTACAATTAAGATTTGATTTAAATCCGCATTGAATTCCCCAGTAAAATGAATCCAAAGAGATTTGGCAGGTTGGATTGGGTCCGATTCTACAATATTGGCAGGTACTTGTGCTGGTTTGGTCCAAACCTTGAGTCCCATTTTTAATAATTTTTTTTTTCAAATTCATATTCAATGGAATATTTTTTAAAAAATAATATTACACAGACATTTTTTAAAAAATTTATATTTTAATCATACGTTGTTTAAAAATTCATTATTTTAAAATATATATTTAGTTTTTTACCAAATAATGAGGCTCAAACAAGGATTGAACTTGAGCTCTACAATAATTTTGAATGGAATGTTACAAACTTACTACGAGAGTAGTTGTAGCAAGTCGATCCAGATCAGCACATCCATTACACTCCTACCTCTACGTCCGAGTAGAAATGGCAATTGGACAAAGTTGAGGAGCCCTCCTCGTTAGAGATTTTTGACGGGTGGGTCAAGGTTGGAGACATGATTCAAATAATTTGGTGGAAATTAAAATATTTCTATTTTTTGCACCTGCTTATTTATTTTTTAAACATTTTAAATATGAAGAAAATTTGAAAAACAACAGATAAATTAAAATAAAATAATGAATAAGAACGAGGCAATAGGCCATGTTTTGCCGTGAGGAAATGGTGGTCAATGCCCGATTAATCTAGCTTAATTTCCACAATCACCTTTGACCAGATTAAACTAGCATTGTGTTTGATCGCCAATATTTTTTTTATGAAAACTGCGTTTTTTCCATGAAAACTGTGTTTTTTCCATCTAATTTCCTATTTTGTGCTGTTTGATTGGCAAATTTTTCCACTTTTGGTCACGTGATCATATTTTCTTTGAAAATAAGAAAAATATTTTTTTTAAGGAGATGTGGTTTTTATTTTCCAAATAATCCCCCATCTCTCTCTTATTTACTTGCTAATAAAAAATAGATAAGTATAATTTTTATACAAATAAGTTCAGTTGAATTGCTTAGAATTTATTTTATTTCCATATAAATTACATACTCGCAATCAAACGCATTCCTAATAAAATTTCTCAAATACCTCTCTTTTCAAATGAAAGAAAAAAGAGGGAAAAATTCAGAAAAAAAGGAAAAAATCTTACTAAAGAAATCAATTTCAACACAGTGATTTATCATCATCTTCTACACATCTTCTACACATTTAATCAGACGTTTGTGCTATTTTAAAGCTGTCTTCGTGATAAGGCAATGGCGATTAATAAAGAATAATGTAGGATTCGAACCTAGGTCTGAATTGGTGCTTTCAAAATTTTGAATTGAAGTCGCGTTTTTTATATTGCAATTATATTAAAAATGCACGTTTAATTGGATTGAGATACGTGATTACATCTTGGCCGTTGGTTTTGCTTTTGGAATCTTCTATTATTGGTGCCGTTTCACTGGCACACGGTTTGAGGGTTTTCACTCCTTGGCTATGGTTTTGAAGGAAGTTCTCTCATTTTCTAGGATTCTCTTCTTCTGTTTTCTTTCTACCAATTTTTTTTTTTTATTTGAGATTCTCGATTTGTAATCTTTAGCCCCTGTTTTAATAATATTCTAAGTGAATTTCTATAAGAGGGTTTGTGTTCTCTCGAGTTACTGTTTATGTGTGTTTATGAAGATTCTTGGTAATTTTTTGTGGGTCGATCGTTGTATCTTTGAAAGATAAGTGTTTTTCAGTGCATTGGCTGAACATTTATAACATTTGTTACCATTTTGGGCTATATAATGAAATCGAGCATAAATTCAATTTATTGGATGCTCAATGGGGGACGTAGGCGTTAGAAGTGGTCGTCGAACCTCCGAGGCTTAGAACGAAAGAAATCGATTGTGTTTTCACACATTTTTAATTTCTGCACTTTATTTTATGAAATATCGTTTTATTGCTGCTTTTCAACATTAATATAGTGGGTTTCTGATCTTACAAATAATTTAGGCTTATTTGACGTGTGAAAACTTGAAAGTGGGCATTTAAAAATGCAGCCAGCTCCCCGTCCTAAATAGTTGACCGGCTGGGAATTTGACTTCTTCTCTGAGGTCATTTTGCTTCCCCTAATTAATTAATTTAAGAAAACAGATTGTCCTTTGAATCAAAACAAGAAACGAGTGATGCAATTCCTCATTATTCCAACGTCAGTCAGTTAAGTCGAGGTCAGTCCAGAAAGAGAAACAAGAAAAATGATGATATCAAACGGAATCGAAGACGAGGAGAAATGGCTTGCCGAAGGCATCGCCGGAATTCAACACAATGCATTTTATTTGCATCGCGCTTTGGTAATTTCCAAATTTAATTCTCAGAGCCCTAGATTCTCAAGTTAAATGCAATTTTAATTTGTTCTTATTTGAAAAAATTCAGGATTCGAATAATCTGAGAGAAGCACTTAAATACTCGGCGCAGTTGTTGTCTGAGCTTCGAACTTCGAGACTCTCGCCTCACAAATATTATGAGCTATGTAAGATTCCTGGATCCAAATTCTCCTGGTGATCTATTTTATTATTTAGAGTTTATATGTTTATTCCGTGAATTGTTTGTTTTATTCACTTTATGGAATAGATATGCGCGTGTTTGATGAATTGAGGAGGCTGGAAATGTTCTTCAAGGATGAGGACAGGCATGGTTGTCCAGTGGTTGATCTATATGAACTTGTTCAACATGCTGGAAACATTTTGCCTCGACTGTAAGTCTCATAGAGTTGGGTTCTAATTTTATGTTGCTTACTTCACCTTTTATATGCATAGTTAACGATTTAACAATATTTCATCTTATATTACATGGTTTAAGGATTTCTCTGATTATGCTGGAGTTGTGATTGTGTTGGAGTTTGTCATATTGGCTTCATTTATTAATATCTTTATATATGTGCGTTATATTGTACAAATTACTGCTGCTTGCGCTTTTAAGCTGGTTCTACACACCTGCTATCCTTGTGTAGCATAGTGAGAAGGCTTTGGATTTCAACCATCTAACTGTGTTCCATTTACTGATTAATTTAAGCAGTTCTGAGTTTCTTTTTCTTTAAATCACTCTCCATTGATGAAGAATATAGAATGAATATTTAAATGTCTAGTGATCAACAGAAAAGAAATTGATATCTATTTAGTCATGCATGGTTTTGAAGCTCGGAATCGTATAGACAAATTTCATATTCCTTCAATTTGATTTGATAATGGTCTAATCTTAATTAAAAACTCTAGATCGATGTTTAAAAAGGTATAATTGGGTACTGAAGTGTTTTTCCTTGGTGAGGTGAAACAAAAAATTGTTAAAAATTTAAAAATGCAAAAATGAGTGCATAATAAATCATAAACAATCTTCAAAATTCACAATAGATCAAATTAAAGTTTGCAAACAAACAAAAATAATTCTACAAAACAAAAAGAAACTATTAGTTTAGTGGTGGGAAATGTACTATTCCCTAAGTGGGTCTAGTATAAACATAATTTTCTAATGTTTTATTAATAACTGATTGCGTAATAACTAATTGCCAAGGTGAGCTAGTTAGAAAACAAATTATTTTATTTTATTTTATTTCATTATTTATTTATTTATTTATTTATTTAGTGTTTTAGTAGTAGATATTGGGTCCTTGGCTATTCCCCGAAGTGGCTCAATTAGAAATTTCAATGCTTTGTGAGCCCACGCCTAAAGAAAAGTAAACAAGTGTGGAGAGTTAAGGAGCATACTCCTCACAAGCCTTGAGGCATGTGCCCCACTCAATTGAGGTGTGCACCTCCAAGAAATACCTCACAATCAGTGCCTTGAGGTGTTTTTTGTTCGCTTCGCTCTGGGGTGGGTCTCAATCGGGATATTTAAACAATGCTCTAAATAATTTTCATGAATCCATTAGATTTTAGAGTTGCTAAATCTTGTTTCAAGTAAATTTAATTACAGTTCTACGCTATTCCATTTGAAATACAACTGTTTAATTTGCTTATTTTTTCTTCCACCTACCATTTTACCTGCATAATTTTAGGCTTGTGCAATTAAATCTATGTTATTTCCAAAAAATAGAGGTTCCCTAGGCACATAATATTTGTTTTGTCAATTTATTAGGTATCTCCTGTGTACAGTTGGTTCTGTTTATATAAAATCGAAAGAGGCTCCTGCTAAAGATGTTCTCAAAGACCTTGTTGAAATGTGTCACGCTGTTCAGCATCCCATACGTGGGCTCTTTTTGAGGAGTTATCTTGCTCAAATTAGTAGAGACAAATTACCCGATATTGCTTCGGAGTATGAAGGGTAAGGCAGTTGTTCACTTGCACGTTACTTCGTTCTTTGACTTTTAAAATTAAGCACGCAAAAGATTGGACTATTTCATCATGCTCATGCTAGTGACAACCAAATCTCTCTTTTTCTATTTTCCCCGTTGTCTAGTCCCAATTTTTTAGAATTAATTTTTTCCAAAACTTATTTTCAACGACACATTTTATAGAATTTAGAACTTTTATCAACTTTTCAGTCATACATTTTATCAACTTTTATCAAAATCTATTAAAAATCTAATTATTAGCCAAACAAAATAGGGGCTTAATTTTTAAACAGACGCTGATTGCATTACTAATCTTCATATCATCACTTGCCCTTTGTAGTTCTTTTGCACTTTCATATACGTGGTCTCATCTTGCTTATTTTTTCTTTCGCTAGTTTGGCTTTATTCTTTTCCTTTGAACTCCATGCTTAATGTAGGCCATTTGACATGGGTATTCTTTTAACTTAGCATCCACTGACATGCATATATTTACATATTTGCATATGCGTCTAAAGCTTTTACCCTTAGGGTCCGTTTGATTGCAAATGTGGAAAATGGGTGGAAAGAAAATAAATTTCAGGGAAAATAATTGCCTTGAAATTGTTTTCCAGGAAATTGTTAATTAAGTGTGTTTGATTGGTATAATTTTTCACCTGGAAATTTTTTGAAATTTTGGATTTTTTTGTTCACGTTTGGCTTTATTTTACATAAAAATTGTCCATTAAATTAAATTTTTTTTTTTTACAATTGGTTATGAAATTTGTTACCATTGCCAAAAAGTAAAAAAAAAAATTTTTTTTGCTCGAAAACTATTTTTTCATCAAAGTTTAGTGTTCGTTTGGCTTCATTTTACATTGAAATTGTCTATTAAAATGAATTTTTTTTTTTTACAATTGGTTATGAAATTTGTTTTCATTGCTGAAAAAAAAAATTTTCCAGCAGAACCTGGAATTTCTTTTCCCACCAAAATGGTGGGAAAAGGATTTCCCACAAATTGAGGAAAATGGGCGCGTGGTGGGGGGGTTGGGAAAACATTTTTTAGGGAAAAGTTAAGCCATCAAACATGGCGTTTTAGGTGGAAATGGAATTACTTTTCCATTTTCCATGGAATTCAACCCCTATCAAACATGGCCTTAGATATTTTTGAATGCCATGTAACATCACATATTTTTGAATGTCATGTAACATCAGTTCCCAGATACAAGTTTAGCAGATTTTCATGCATGTGCTAGCTTGGTATATCTTACAATCAATAAAAATTTACACATGTAACGAAATATTTGGAATACTTATTTGATATTTCCATTAGTTCTTGATTGTTAGTTCTATATTGTTTGCCACATTAACTTGCTAAACGTTTTTATCATTGCATGATATTAATTGCAGTAGCTGCGACTTGTGACCTTTTTATTATGTGTTACTTTCCTGTAGTGAAGGTGACACTTTCATGGATGCTGTAGAATTTGTGCTGCAAAATTTTGCGGAGATGAACAAACTTTGGGTCCGGATGCAGCACCAGGTTTGTGGATGTAGCTCTGTAATTTTTTCTTGCTTTTTTGACATACATGGTATCTGAAAACTTGCATGCCACAAAAGTGTAAAGAATCTTGAGGGCATGTTTTGACCATGCAGGTGTAATATTAAGATAGATTTACGATTTGATAATGCTGACTTGATACTTTCGGGCTTTATGGTCTGTAGGGACCTGTAAGAGAGAAAGAGAAACTTGACAAGGAAAGGAACGAGCTGCGTGATCTTGTAATACGAATGCTTCAAAGCAGTTAATTTTTCTTGTCATATCTTAACTCCCTTTTAACTTCTATAAATATATTATTATAACATCCCTCTGATGTTTTAGGTTGGGAAAAATTTACATGTTCTCAGTCAGATAGAAGGTGTTGACCTTGAAATCTATAGAGACACTGTTCTTCCAAGGGTGTTGGAGCAGGTTAGTTCGTCTGATTCAGTGTATCTTTAAGATATGAAGATCTCACAATGTGCAATCAAATGGTTTCTGCAGGTTGTTAATTGTAAGGATGAACTTGCCCAATATTATTTGATGGACTGCATAATTCAGGTCTTTCCAGATGAGTACCATTTGCAGACCCTTGAGACATTATTGGGAGCTTGCCCTCAACTTCAAGTGAGTAGCCTATCATACATTGAGATTTCTTTTCCTATTACACAATGTTTCTTTCTCCTTTTTTTGGCTGAACCAGATAAAGAGTAGTGTTATGAAGATTATAACCTTTTGTATATGGTGCCATTCAACCAGGCAATGCAAGTTCGTTGCATCATAAATTGAGAATGATCTATGCTTTCAACTTCGTATTTTCTTAGTGTGTTTTTCGGATAAAAATACCATTCAAATTCTTTATTGAAAATATTCATGTTGTTTCTTTGACTTCTTTTAAAAGTGATATGTGATAAGAAGAATGACTCAAATATGTGAGCGAATTGATTGAGGCCTCTGCAATATTAGGAAATTTGTTATGTGGTCCATGCATGTTTGCATCTCTGTGTAGTAATTCTAAGAGAATTCCTAAAGTAGAAGGTTGAGAAAAAGCACTATCGTTTTGAATAATATGTTTTACCTGATTGTGCGAACGTTATATGGTAGTATGGCACTTTATGTGGAGAACCAACATAGTCCTTTAATGTTAAAGAACAAATATTAGTTGAACAAAGTTTTACCATTAAATGTTTCTTTAGAGGGAATAATTGTACCAATTATCGTGCATTAAATTTTTTTTGCCTTGCTTCAAACTCGTTTTTCGGGACCTTAATAACATGCATTTTGTGATAAGTAGTTTACTTGATGTTGCATAATGTTGATTCTCAGTCTGCAGTTGACATCAAGACTGTTTTATCCGGACTGATGGAGAGATTGTCAAACTATGCTGCTTCATGTCCAGAAGTGAGTCATTTTACTTTTTTACAACTCCTGCTAATGGATTCCTTATTTTGTTCATTGTGATTCTTTTCCATATTTAGGTCTTACCTGAATTTTTGCAAGTTGAAGCATTTACCAAGTTGAGCAATGCAATTGGAAAGGTAAGTTTTGATTCTTTTATTTATTGCATTCCAGAAATAGAGTTTTGGTCAAAATATATGTTGTGGGTGGGTGCGTGATTTGATATGGGTTCTTATTATTGTTAAAAATTGAATTCTTGTCAAAAATAAGATTATTTTGTGTCCAATAGTTCATCTTTTTCTCCCATTTATTGACTAATTATTTTAACATTTTGAAATGCATTCATATGTGGATTAATCAATTTCTGAATTCCACCATATATCTTTTAAGGTAACAAAATACTCTTGATGAAAAAATCTCTTGGCTCAATTTTACTGAAGTTCTCTAAAGGTCTCCTGCAACCTTAAAATTGGTTCTCTATTTTCTGTTTCTTTATAATCACATCCATCTGTGCTAACCTTTTGGGCACGCTTGGCACATTTACTATCTGCTCATATAGACTTCATCTGCACGTATAAATCACCCGAACATAAATGTAGAGGCAATGCCATACTTAATCGTAATTTGTTTTGCTACTCTTGAGGGTTTTTTTGGCGGATATTGACATATATTGAGGCATGAAAGCCTAGAATCTAGGAGTAAATCCTATTATACTTCGGACTTGATTTTCTTGGCGATTATCTCTGTACATATAGATATGCTTGTTAAATGTTTTGTTGAAGAGAGACGGGAGTACAGTTGTGGTTTTGCATATATTATTATGATTTGGTACGGAGGAGTACTTATGGCAGTTAATTGGTAGGATAATATACACTTTTTTCCATCTAATACGAAAGAAAAGATAACACCCGTGGAGGAGGTAAATCGGACAATACAATATAAAACAGGGACAAATGTCCTTGATTTCCTTTTGTGTGTACCAAACAATTTAATCTCCTACTACTTTCTCAAAAGAGATCTGCAATCGTCAATTAGCTATATGCGTTGATATCACTTTCTGCATTTATTATAAGATCAATGGTAATGTCAGAATCTGATTTAAGCTCCACTCTCCTAAACCGAGGTCCCATGTTTGTTTTAGAGCTGGTCAAGTAACCAAAGGTCTTCAGCATTGATAGAATGAATGCCAATTCTTCTTAAAAATTCCTTGATCTAATTTCCTGCATCTAACAATCCCCCACCCTCCATGGACAGTGAGGTAGGATTTGCTTTCAGACTAGTATTTATTGATTTCAACAACCAGGCAGAGAATTTTTGCAACAAATATGTTTTGTTGGGGTTTTCCAAAAGGAAATGCACATATTACATGTTTTGCAAGGAAAGATTTAGAAATATGTTTCTTCCCAACATTGCAAGGTTTTGCTTTGCCAGTTATAGAGTTTATTGTTAAGCGACATCTGTCTGTTGACGTAAAGAGGGAAATGATAATTAATATACATATAGATAAAATATGCTTAATACGTTCATTGAGCACTTATGCTAAGCTTGTGGTTGCACCTTCACTTGTTTTAAAGAAATTCTGATCTGACTCTACCAGGCACAAAATTTCCGCAAGCTACTAATAGGACCTATACAAAAGCATTTTTGATTTGTGCATTCTGCATGATTGGAATTTACATAGCATCTGCTATTAGGGGCCTAGGTCTCCTGCATTTTCTGTTCCTGTCCGTTTAATATTTCTTGGTGCTGTTCTGCCAACCTGGATGATACTAAAATTTCATGTATTCCTTTCTTTCCGTTATGTGTAATTGTATACCTCATCATATTAAACATGTGATAGAATGATTAAGTGTACCATTTCCTTTTAGATTTCAGTCTAAAATGTTTTCTGATGCAGGTCATAGAAGCACAGGTTAACATGCCTGTTGTTGGAGCAATTACTTTATATGTCTCTCTTCTGACGTTCACTCTTCATGTCCATCCTGATCGGCTGGATTATGTGGATCAAGTTCTGGTATGTTATTTATTGAGTTGTTTACAAAAATTTATATCTCAGAAGGTGGCATCTAAACATAATATATGGGGATCATCTGTGAAGCTCCTTGAGTATCATTTTCTTGGAATTTTAGTGCGCCGTTCTGTTACTTCAGACCAGTAAATGTTTATTAACACGCGCATAAATCATGCACAAGCTCACTACACGGAGAGAAAGTGTAACGCCCCGAGTTTCGTGAACCCGAATTGCCACGTCATCGTCTTTTGTAACTGATTTAACTAAAAGGATTGCGGAAAATAACAAAATTTAAGACATCGTAATTAAAACTATAAAACTTCGTCTGCAACAAAATTCATTTGATTACTTAAGAAAAATCGTTTAAATTTCAGAACTCAAGTTTGAAATAATGGGAACAACAAAGTTAGTTCATAATGCGTAAATTTCAAAAGTAAATAACTTCGACTATTAATTTATGCCACCACTGCCTATCACACTCGACCATCTCCAAAATTTGCAAATATTGTTAAAATAACGGAATGAGTATTTCGATGAAATACTCAGTAGACTCATCGCCGATAATTAATTTACAGAATAATTGAACACGTAATCATGCAATTCATATCGTGACATCATCATCATATGCTCATTTTCTTGAAAATCATAGGCTCTTTAAAAACATAGGGTGTGGATAGTCTCGTCTCGCACATTTAAGCACATAAGTTTTGCATAACATTTTCATCTTATCTTATAAGAGATACTCGTCTCTTCTCATGCAATAAAGCATACAAGTTATGGCAAGCATAACAACATCATATATCTCATATGACATATTCTCATCTGATGCATCAAAACATATAAATCACGTAAATTCACATAATACATGCAATTATAATTTAAACTAATTAATGGTGGCGAGTCTACCTCAAATTATCTCGAGTCTCTAAAAAATGGAGTGGGACGTAACCTCAATCTCCTAATCGTCGCACGTTTCGTCTAGCCAAAATAGAAATAAGTTTTGAATTAGTATTCCGAAATCTAAAGTTTTAAAACAATGAAATAAAGTTTAGGGACCAAATTTGATATTTGTTAAAACTGAATTTGACAAATATAGGGGTTGAAAATAATATTTTCAAAGTAATGGGGTTAAATATGGGAAATGAGAACTTTAAGGACTGATTTAATAATTACTGAAACTGAAAATAAAAGTTTAAGGACTGAAATTAAACTTTTCTGAAATATGGACTTAATTGGAATAAAGTGAAACTGAAAATAAGAATTTAAGGACTGAAATAGACTTTTTTGAAATCAATGGGCTGGCTGTAGGAAAAATAGGACTCTAGGGGCTGATTAGCTTATAACTAAAACATCGGGACTGAAATAAAACACTTTTAAAAACTTGAAGGCTAGAGGTTAATTTCTAAAAATTAAATAAAACAAAAATCTATCTCTCTCTCTCTCATATTTCGAACCAGAGAGAGAGAGTTCTCGACGCTGCCCCTTCCTCCGTCCCAACCGCCGGTGAACGGAGTCAGCGCCACCGTCGCGTGGTGGCACTGGTGTGAGGGTGGGTGGCTGGGAGGAGTTTGGGTGCACGAACCGAGGGATTAAGGTTCGATTTTCATTCGGGTTTTCTCCTTGGTGGCAATAAATCTCGAAAATGGTTGAGGTAAGTTATGGATTATGCTATTTTCTTGGTTTTGGTAGTTGATTTGGTGTGAGGTGGTGGCTGTCGGCTGGGATGGTAGCTGCGGGTTGTCTGTGATTGCATTCGATGGTTCGAAGATTTGGGTGAGGTTGAGGTTTGGGTGACCGGCTGTAGTTCAGCAATTTGGCGGTGTAGTGAGTTTGGGCTGGGTGGCTGGAACGTGGGGTGGATGGCTGCAGCTTGGGTTGTTTTTGCAGTCGGTTTTTGAGGTGATTTTAGGCAGTGAATTGTGCTCCTTTTCGAGCAGTGGAGGTGGCGAGTTTGGGCAGTCAGTGAGGGTTAAACTCGATGGGCTGCAGTGTCAATATTGGGTGGTGGATTTCAGCTTGTGTGGTGTTGGTGGTGGTGATGGTTTGCAGCTTGTGAGTCTCTTGTTGATGTTAGAAATTGATGTTTTAGCATCAATAACGAGTTCACTATAAATGGATTAAGGAGCATTCTTGGAGGAGATGAAATTTCCTTACCAAATTTGGCTGGTTGTGTGAGTGCGAGGAATGGAGGGAAAATGAGGATGAATAAAATAGTGAATTTTTAGGGCACAAATCCCTAGGTAGCTAATTGGGCCAAATACTTGGGCTGCAGGGATTTTTAAATTGGGCTTGAGTGGATTGGACTAAAAATCAAGATTTAGGCTAATAGAATTTTGGACTTTAAAATGATAAAGGATTGGATATTTTAAAATTATTCGAAAATGAATTCGATTCGAAAAATTTAAATTCGTTTATAACGGCTAGACGAACTCGTTTTCACTTTAACGTTAGGGTTTAAAATTTAGCGACACGTTTTTCAAGGAAAAATAATTTATATAATTTAAAATTCTTGGTCGCTACAGAAAGAGTCCATTGTGTCATGTCATTTAGCACACATCCCGTTGACCTCATAGTCACACATCGTTTTTCACTTCGACTGCTTGTCTTCTTCATTGATAGGGAGCATGTGTAAAAAAGTTATCTGGAAAAGCAAAGCTTGAAGATAGTAGAGTAACGAAACAAGTTGTTGCGCTTCTGAGTGCTCCACTAGAGAAATATGATGATGTTGTCACTGCTCTCACACTTTCTAATTATCCACGCGTGATGGATCACCTTGATGCTGCAACAAATAAAGTTATGGCAATGGTTATCATCCAAAGCATTATGAGAAACAGTACTAGCGTGTCAACTTCTGACAAGGTAGAATCCCCTTTGGCTTTACATGTGATTTTGGTTTTTACTTAAATAAATGTGATTTAATTACTCTTTGCAGGTTGAGGTTTTGTTTGAATTGATCAAAGGTCTTATAAAGGATATGGATGGAACTTCTACAGATGATGTATGTGGAAAATGTCTCTCCAATCACTTTCATTTCTTCGTAAATGCATTGCTTCTGAAAAATCTGAATATTCTTGTTATTTATTCTTAAATGATTTTATTTTCTTATAGGCTTTCCATAATTTTAATCTATTGGTTAATATAGGCTATAATATATAATCTCTTCTCTTGTTATATGATTACTTGGCCCATAGCTAGATGAAGAGGATTTCAAGGAGGAGCAAAATTCTGTTGCTCGCCTCGTTCATATGCTGTATAATGATGATCCAGAGGAGATGTTAAAGGTAATGAATCTGTTGCAGGCAAAAAAATTTTGTTATAAGTGATACTTTTGGTTGTTCTCATTTACCATTGCTACTTTTGGCTTAGTGTTTCAGTAACACTGCTAGTAACAAAAAGTAAAAGTATTGGGCATTTAGTTCTGCATTTCTTTTTGGCTTTCCTGTATTACACTGAAAATAAATTGGGAGGAGCGCAACATAGCTGCTGTCGTTCACTTCTTGGATGAAAATTTATGTGTGCTTGTGCACATATACATGCGAATTGTTCTTCATAACGTACCGGAACCAAACAATCCCGAATGATATACCAGTTCCATCTTTCGTTTGACAGTGGGTTTACCTATTGGGAAATCAATAGGAGATATTATGCATAGTTTCTTTGTTTAGTAAATGCCAGGTACTTGTTATCTAGTCTATTATCATGTAATCTAGCAAGCAAAAGAGCAAGAAGTAGGTTTCGTAACATTTCTTTTGAGGATATGGGTGCCAGAGAAAGAAAGAATAATGTATTAGATAAATGATATATCAATGTTAATAAGAATTAGTGTAAGTGAAGTATTACCGAAGAATCTCCTATTACAATAGGTTTGCATTAAGATTCCCATCTAAGTCATTGTCTTTTGTTATAGTATCAGATGAGCATACAATGCTTATCCATCCCTGCTATATGTAATTCATTGATGATAAAATTTTGGTCGATGAGACTAAAAGGGGGGCAAAATCTTAAGTTTGCACTTTGTTATAGTACTTAAGAATTTAATGGTTTTAAGTTAAATAGAAGCAAGAACGGAAGGCTTGGATTTTCTTCTTAATTATTAGAAGAATAAATATAATTGTGGAGTTAAAATAGCGAATGATGTTATCTCAAAGAACGACTTCTTCTGATAGCTAGATCAATTAATACAGTTGGACAAAATGGATAAGTGTTATATGGATTTTACGTGATTGGAAGATACATACGATCAATTATGCTCTATGTGAGTAAGCGTTGGACCGTTAAAATACATAATGATCATAAAATGAATGTAGTGGAAATGATTATGTTAAGATGTGCGTGCAACACGAATGGATAAATCAAGAATTTGAGTCTATCTGCCAACAACTAGAGATAGACTATTTGAGGATAAATGAAGAAAAAAGTTGTCTTAACTGGTTGGCTAATGTCTTGGGTAGGAGAAAGAAACTGTTATCACAAGAGCAAATCAATCTCAATTTATAAAAGCGAGAGTATACCACAATTAGCGTGGCTTTCTGTGGTTGTGAAAAAATTTAGTTCTCCAGGCTTTTCGTAAGACGTACTCTTAATCGAAGGGAATGGCAAAATCATTCATATGCCCTACTCACATTTATTGAAACTAAAGGCATAGATTGTTGTTGGATATGTGTATTCCTGGCTACATTAGCTGATAAACTTAGGTTGTAAAAGAGTCATGAACTAGGACTAATTGTACTTCTAGTACTTGAGTTTCAGGAATATCAAAATATATATGCATGGATGCTAAAATTCAGGTAATAGAAATATGCAAATTTATATTCCAATAGACAAGTGCATGCACATTTTTGGACTCTTATAATTACCAGAGACTTGTAATTTGTTTATGTTGTTAGTTTGAATTCTAGGAGATGAATCTCAAGTTTACTGTTTTTCTTATCTCCTTAATATTGATATTGATGAATGTTGTGAATCATGTATCTGATGGCATAATTAATTCCTACAACTAAATTACAAGAAATTTTAGTTTAAAACGGAAGGAAAATTACATTTGAGACTCTGTCTGTACATTATTGCAAATATTGTTTGACCTAATGAACTTAACCTGTGCTGTTTCCTAGGGTGATTAAAGACCATGGCGGTAGTTTGTTAAATAAATTATTGATGCACTGTAAATTGTTCCTAGTGTTCATGCCTTTTGTAGCATTTGTACAAAATTGATGGAGTTGCTTCGTATTATGTAGTCACCTTAACTACTGTCTTTCCAAAATGTTTTTCCAGTCTTGTTTTATCCATCTTATGTTTGATCTCTCTACGCAATCAGATAATAAATACCGTGTGGAAACATATAATGGCTGGAGGTCCCAAACGCTTGCCTTTTACGGTTCCTCCACTTGTTTTTTCCGCTCTCAAGGTGTGTACATTTCACAATTCGAAATGCTGGTATCATTTAGTGATTTTAGAGCATAAACATTCAAGATGTAGATGGGGGTATTTGCTTTATTGAATTTAGTATCATTCAGGATATCACTTTTACTTGGGCCTCATGTATATTTGTGACTAGCTGATAATTAGCACATCTCTGCACTCTTGCGGTTTTTTGCTGTATGCATCCCTGATACAATGATACATAATGGCATCTGTATATATTGACTAAGAAGATCATTTCTGATCTACATATAAAAGTTTTTTGCTACTATTCAAAATAATGCATAGAAGCTTCATTTAAATGCTCTTTTAGACCCAAAAAGTGGAAAAAGACCGTTCTTTTTGTTTCTTTGTTCTAATTTTTATCTTGTCTTGCGTTTTGATGAAATTGGCTTTCATTTTGTAAGGGAAAACACCTTCTATGAATGATCATTGCTCGATCAAAAGTTCATCACGCTCTGTATTTTTTTAGTAATGTACTCTGTAGAGCATAGTCTGACTGTTTCTGCAGATGGCTCACTAAGAAATCAATTATTGTTAGTATGTGTCATGTTGCTGCAATAGTTGTAGTTGAACCTAAGCTTGGCTGGCAAATAAGCAATTTTCTACTTCTTGCATAAAACTATTGAGGGATGCATCATGGCATACACCCACACGAGCTTCATTCACATTGGTGCTCACATACTGAGCATATTGGTAATGCATGAGCATGTTTGTCTAAGCCTGAGAAAAAGTAATGTTATTATTCCCAAACATGTTTGGACATCTTACTTTAAGTTCAAAAAAAAAAAAAGAAGTTACTATATGGAAGTAACTTACCTGAGTGTCAAAATAAGTAACTCATTTTAACTTTCATCAACAAAATACTATTTATTTTGAAACTTGCTTTTTGCTTGCGAGTAAATATACTTCAAAGTTAACTTTTTAAGTTTAGCCTAGCATGATGTCATGTCAACATCCTAAACCCACCTTCTCGGGAATTTCATATTATCATTTCTTGAGATACATTGTCGTTCGCTCTCCCTGGAGGTATATCCTCCCCACCTTCTAGGAAAGGGAAAATAACTTAGTGTACTGGATTTATCTCAATATTTAAGCTTACTAACCAGTTAAACTCTCATCCCTTCCTATATTTGATGCACTATTCCCGGTGGTAGTTGGTGAGGAAATTGCTAGGTCAGGATGGAGATGTAGCTGGAGAAGAAGTTCCAGCCACCCCAAAGAAAATATTTCAGCTCCTGAATCAGGTGATAAAGCTTAGAAATTTCCAATTTCTTATCTGCTAGGATATTGAACCTAAGAAGCACCGATATTTGTGAACTTGTTACGTACCAGTATCCAATACGTATCTAAGCTCCGATACCCTCAAATACGTACCGGATACCTTTTTTTAGTTATCTTATATATTTTTATATTTTTTAAATTTTCGATATGTATCCAATACGTATTTTTAAATTACTTTATATTTTGTAAGATTTTCAATACTTATCCGATATGCATTTTTTAAATTATTTTAATAACTTATTGAATATCAATAATATTNTTTTAATAATTTATTGAATATCAATAATATTTATTGAAAATAAACAATTAGAGTTTTAAAATTAACAAGTAGATTTTTTATCGGAAATGCACAATATTATTAATCTTTCAATACACGTGAAACCATGTTATAGTTGACAAATATATTTTTATTATTGGAAATAGATAGTGACTAGTATTAAATAATACATGTAAAATTGTGTTACATTGATTCTATTTTTGAAAATAGATAATGATTTAATATACGTAAAACCATGCTAATAAATTGTTTTAATATTTTATTTTATTTTTATTATCATGCTTATGTATTAATGTTTTTTATGTTAATGAAATTATGTTGAATTTTATAAAACGTATCGACGTATCCTATTTTTTTCAAAGAGGTCATATCGGTATCCGTATCGTATCGTATCTTATTGTATTTGAATTGCATATCCTTATCCGTGCTTCTTAGTACAATGAGTTCTCATATTGTTGGTTTCGAGCATATAACTTTTAATCTTTTATTTTTCATACTCTTGACACTGGAAAAACTCCTTTCTATTATTGCAGATTATCGAGGCTCTTTCAGTTGTTCCATCACCTGAACTGGCATTGAGGCTGTACTTGCAATGTGCTGAGGTAATATTTATTGATAAATTCGAGTTTTACTGAGAAGTGGATTAAGGGCACTATTTAAGAACAACTAATACGACAGTAAAATAGTTTATTGATAAATAATGTAGTCACAGGCACCAATAATTCTTTATACATCATCATGCCTGTGCTTATACCAAATATTTCACTAGCACCAGCATTATATATTTGTAAAAAAAATACTGATTAGTCTAGTCATAATGCTTTGATGTGAAAATTGATTTATTTTTCATTTTCCTTTGTTTTGCAATTCATATCCACAGGCATCTAATGACTGTGATCTTGAACCAGTAGCTTATGAATTTTTCACACAAGCTTTTGTACTGTACGAGGAAGAAGTTGCGGTAATTATTAAATATAATCATTGTATTCCCTTACTATATATTATACGAGTTTTTTCTTAGAGAACTGGAACTGGGTTAATTTCTTGACTTCAATTTTTATGTTAAAATTCTGTATTTGTAGGATTCTAAAGCTCAGGTGACTGCTATACACCTAATAATTGGGACTCTGCAAAGGATGAATGTATTTGGCGTTGAAAATAGAGATACCTTGACTCATAAAGCCACAGGGGTACATCAATGTTTTGAGTATCTTACTTATAAATCCTATTTACCCTTCATCGCAGCCTGACTGTTCTTTTCTGTTTAGTATTCAGCAAAACTTTTAAAGAAGCCTGATCAGTGCAGAGCAGTTTATGCCTGTTCCCATCTCTTCTGGGTTGATGATCAGGATGGCATCAAAGATGGAGAAAGGTTAGCTTTGTGAAAATAATCACTGGCATTATCTTCGGAAGTACATGTTTAGGAACAATTAGAACTCTTTTGAAGTTATATTATCAGCTTCACAGACGTGTAATTTGAGTTATTTAATTAAGGTGCATTGGATAATGGTTCATTCTTGAGACAGAATCATGTATTTGCTGCATGGATCACATGGTTTCGCTAGTTTTACATCATTTGTTGGTCTTCTTATGTTGTACAGTGTGGAGCTTATCATGCTTTACACTTATTCCCTTGGGCCTCAACCATGTATCGACCTTAAGGTCGATGAGGGTTGGAGAGGGAAGATTAGTAAGGTTGATTTTGGGTCTAGAGCTATATTGGGTACTCCATACTTGTCAACCTAATATTCCTACATGTGTAAAGGATTTTTAAGGGGCCATTATTGGGCGTGCTAGATAGGTGTGATTCTCTGTGATTGGATGTGCAATTCTATCTGTACTTTGTCTTGTTTTCTGATTTTATTTTCATTTATCATCTCATTCTACACTAGAGATTATGCCTAATCCATAACATTCTTGTACTGCAGGGTACTACTATGCCTGAAGCGGTCATTAAGGATTGCAAATGCTGCTCAACAGATGGTAAATGTTACGAGGGGTAGCAGTGGACCAGTTACACTATTTGTTGAAATACTTAACAAGTTAGTTAATCCGACTGTTGTGACTACATTGAAGAACTAGATTTTATATGCCAGTATTCGTATAAGTGTTTTCTTGATGAATGGGCTTCAGGTACCTATATTTCTTCGAGAAGGGAAGTCCTCAGATAACAGCTGCTGCTATTCAGGGCCTCATAGAATTGATAAAAACCGAGATGCAGAGTGATAGTACAACTTCAAATCCAGCTTCAGATGCTTTCTTTGCAAGCACCTTGCGTTATATTCAATTTCAGAAACAAAAAGGCGGTGCCATGGGCGAGAAATACGATCCCATTAAATTGTGAAAATCCGACTTTTCTCCTAAAAGGTGAGCGTGTGCATACGATTGCATGATGGAGCCGGCTTTGGGTGGGGGAAAAAGTTGCTTCAGTTTCTCACATTGATTATGCTGTACATCGCTGTGAAATATATGAAAACTGCGTGATTCGATGTAAAAAAAAACTCTTCCAAGTTCTCCTTCAAAGAAATTTTCTTTCAGTTTTCTTTTTCCTACTTGGGTCTATGATAACCGTAGTGGTTCAAGTAAATGTGTTTCTTGTATTCTTTTGTGAGATTAAGAATCGATTGGATGAATGTGTAATGAATTGCTTTGTACAAATAATGAGTTGCTTTTTATAATAGGACATGTTCACACGAATGTTACCGAACATGCAATTTGTATAGGGTAAATTGCACCAGAGGTCTCAAACCTTTTTTAAGTGTCATTCGTGTCCGCGAACTACCATTTGTTGTATTGACGTTTCTAACCTTTTAAAAACTGTATCACCTATGTCTCTAGCTAATGGGAAAAAATTTACTCGAATATTAAACAGCCACGTGATAATCACATGTTATCGCGATGTCGAACTGGAAGGTAAAGTTCTCTAGAAAGATACATTTTATTCCAAAAACAATTTAAATAATGACTTCAACTTGAAATTCAAATAGGAAAGATTCTAGTGTTTATGGAACCTATCAAGTAACTACAATCCTTCTTTGACATAACGACTGTCGTGCGGTAATCTGGGAAATGGGTGTCACAATTTTAAAATGTTAGATATATGAGTGCAACAAATGATAGGTCGGAGATATGACGGTCACACTTACGCATTGTTAAGGATTTATCACGGTTGTATACATCTATTGGACTATCTCAAGTGGTGAAAGGTCACATATCATACGTTCACTCTTAACAACTTGAACTTACATTTAGAAAGGAATTATTTTTAAATAGCACTACTTTTCTCTCTTCACCCGGGCATGACCTCTGGTCGTGATGTGAGAGAACTTCGTCGATAACTGTCTTCATTAGTATTTTTCTTCACAATTCCAAATTGGTCTACAGAACCTTTCGAGTCTTCTCTACCAACACCACTATATGCACAAAAATAGTACTTAATTGGAACCAAACAGGAGCAGGAAGGAAATAAAAAAAAAGACAAACTGCAGTTAAATTAAACTTTGTCAGCGTTTAATTAATCATCATCGATTAATATTTAGACTAAGATTGGAAGGGTGCGCCAGGCCCAGGCAATAGTGCAAGACCAGGGCAACGCTCGAGAGCCCCAATAGCTAGCTACTGTAGTGGGCCCTCCCCCTTAAAAAATTAATTTAATATCGTGTGGACCAATGGTCCACATATCAGATATTAAACTGATAAGAACAGATACTACACTTGATCTTAGCCAAAAGGCCGAGAAAGGTATGCTTATTAATGACATTGGCCAGCTTTTTTATAGTGCTCTAATCCTTCTCAATATTTCTCTTCAACCAATGTGGGATTACAAAGTGTTTCTCTTTTCCATTTATACAGTAAAAGCATAAAGTGCCTGTGGATGAAATTATAGTAGCATGCATTTCTCGAGTCCTTGTCTAGTCTAAACCTTGTGTCCAGACGGAAATCCTAATCTTCGACTGCATAATTATTTTCCATCAGCATATTCAGTTCATTGATATATGTCTGCTAAGATTCAGAGATCATTATCTCAAACTAATTCTCAACTCTCGTTGCAGACTCCGAACAACCCTAAGAGCATCAACCTTCGAAAGCTTCAGCATCTTCTGGTCCAAATAGACTTCCAGCAGGCAGCCACCACAACGCCCTCATATCGCAAATCGTAGCACCAATTCCAACAAAATCCTTATCTTCTCAAAGATTGAGAACAATCATTTCTAAACGGCATCAATACACTCTTTCTCAGATTAGCTAATACAATGTCGTCATCACAAAAATTAGAATTACAATCTTCTCTTTTCTTCATTCATAAAAATAAAAAATAAAAATCGGAGTGATGTTGTAAAACAACTATGATTTTTTGTAACTTTGTAATGCTAGGCTGGACTTTTATTTACTAAGACATATGAACCTTTATTATAGATTTCTAATATAATTTCAATATTTTGATGTTCATTACATGTTTGTTCTTAGATGATTATTATAGGGTTTAATGCTTTTCAATTACTTGATCAGTAATTGGATTGATGTGTGAATTTTATTGTTATCATAGACAATAAGATAATTAGCACGGTATAACAATTGTTGGGAGGTTCTATAGAAGATAGAGATATACTCTTATGCCTTACATAATTTCAATAGATGTTATAGAGTTTTTTATGCATATATGCTTTCATATTAGCATTTTTCGTAGAGATATAAAAATGTCGCATGAGATGGTAGATATAATTCTACTCGAGAGACATTATTAAATAATTTAGGAACATTGGTAAATCAGAATGAATACGTATTGTCATAATATTCATTTGAATTAAATTGGAATAATGAGGGAGATTTGAAGTCTTAGTAAGCATTCAACCTAACTTTACAAAAAGCTTTAATAATTTGCTCATTAGAATATGTAGTTTAACTAAATAGTTAATTAGCATAAATTCTTATACAAACTCTACTATTTGATTAGAGTTAGCGTTAATTGATCCTAGATTGAGTACAAAGTCTTCGTGGGACGAAATTCTATTAATCACTTTATTGCTTATCAATGATACTGTGCACTTGCAAGATTTCGTACGATCAAATTTTTGGTGCCGTTGTTGGAACCTATCATTTGGCTTCAATCCTTCTTTTACATCACACGAATGTCGCATGGTAATCTAGTTCGGTACAAAGACATGTTTTTCATTAGTTGGAGAAAGGAGTGTCACAATTTCAAAATATTAAATATCAAAGTGCAACAAGTGATTAATCGGAGAAATGGCAGTCACACTTAAGCAAGGTTAATGATTTACCCTATTGTATATAACTATTGGACTATTTCTTGCAGTGAAAGGTTATATCATAAATTTACTCTTTAACAATATTTAGAAATGAATTATTTTAAAACATCTCTATTTTTCTCTCTTCACCCAGCCTTGAACTCGTGACCTTTGATCACAATGTGAGAAAACTTTGTCGAAAATTATCTTCATTGGGATTTTTCTTCACAGTTCCAACTTGGTCTACAGAACCTTTCGTGTCTTCTCTTCTATCAGAGCATTGTATGCACAAAAAATAGTACTTAATTGGAACCAAACAGGAGCAGGATAAAAAAAAACAAAAAACAGAAGTGCAGCTTAATTAAAGTTTATAAGCAATTATTTAGACTAGGATTGGAGGGGAGCGCCAGGCCCAAGCATTAGTGCAAGACCAGGGCAACGCTCGAGAGCCCCAATAGCAAGCTACTGCGGTGGGCCCTCCCCCTTAAAAAATTAATTTAATATCGTGTGGACCAATGGTCCACATATCAGATATTAAACTGATAAGAACAGATACTACACTTGATCTTAGCCAAAAGGCCGAGAAAGGTATGCCTATTAATGACATTGGCCAGCTTTTTTATAGTGCTCTAATCCTTCTCAATATTTCTCTTCAACCAATGTGGGATTACAGAGTGTTAAATATCATACAGAAAAAGCATAAAATTATAATAGCATGCATTTCTCGAGTCCTCGTCTAGTCAAAACCTCGTGTCCAGACGGAAATCCCAGTCTTCGACTGCATAATTTTTTTTTCCATCAGCATATTCAGTTCCTTGATATATGTCTGCTAAGATTCAGAGCTCATTATCTCAAACTAATTCTCAACTCTGCATTACCTACTAAACTATATCAAATAAAATACCTGCATTATCTGCTAAACTGACTCTTGTTGTGGATTCCGAACAAACCTAAGAGCATCACCCTTCGAAGACCCTCTATCAGTGATAAAGCTTCAGCATATTCTGTTCCAAATAGACTTCCATATCGCAAACCGTAGCACCAATTCCAACAAAATCCTTATCGCTCTTTCTTTCATCTTAAAGATTGAGAACAGTCATTTCTAAATGGCATCAATACACTCCTTCTCAGATTAGCCAATACAATGTCGTCATCCCAAAAATTAGAATTATAATCTTCCATTTGGCATTCACATAAAGTGATTGATAGGTGTAAATTTTACTCCTATTCAGACCATCAAAAGTGGATATTTAGGAGTCAAATTGAATGTATTGCTATTTAATTTGTTTAAATATTGATTATTGTAGGATATATTCAAGTTTGGATAGGTTCTGTTAAAAAAAAAGTTGAAATTGACCAAAGAAGGTCGAAAAAGTAAGAATTTCAAAGTTCAAGGACTAAATTATAAATATTAAAAAGTTAGTTCGAACCTAGAAATGATGATTTCAGATTGCACGGAACCAATTGGATGAAATTAAAAGAGGACGGATGGAAACTATATGGAAAATGGACTCAAGATACACAAAATATAAAAGCAGGAGCCAAAATGAACATCCTCAAAATGTGCGATCCAGGCGCTCAACCACATTTTTCCGAACTTGAGCGCTCAATGACTGCCAAGAGGGTGCTCGAGCACGTGTCCAGCGGGAACAATGCCCTTTTTTTTTACTCAAACTTCATGTTCTATCACTTTTTGACACGAATTAATACCTAAATTTTGTCCTATAAATACATAGCTTCCTACTGTTGGAAAAATGATTGGGTGGCTGACTTTGGAGCTAAATTTGAGTGGGACCCGGTTGTTCATTTTAGAATATGGAAGTTGATTTGTTTTCTCTTCCGTGAGTAAATCGAAATCATGTATTTACTTGCCAAAAATGATACTCGGGTGAATGAGAAATTGGT